AAAAAAAAAAAAAAAAAAAAAAAAGAAGGGGGGGTGTGTTAATCTGGGGGCCACAAACCTTCATATAAATCCAGCCCCTATATTCTGGATGATTATTCCCAAAAGCTAGAACTTGTTCCGTTGATCTTTTAAACTGATTACTGAGCAAACGTGTGCGCTTGTAGGAACAGGCCCTGGCAGCCACGCATTTCAGATGTCCTTTTCCATCAGCTTTTTCTTCTCTAACAATGCCAGATTGCATAACGCTGCTGATATTTTCAAATAATGTGGAAATTCAATTGATGTGCAGCCGTGTAATTTATTGTACAATACTTACAGCGTGTTCTAAAAGACAGCCACGGAGAGGCTGACTGCCTCCCAGGACCGCAGAAGACTGGGTTCAAAATGATAAGATAATTTGGTCAACAAGAAAAAAGCAAAAAGAAAAATGGAGAGCAAGGTCTTTTTTTTTTTTTTTTCCACCCCCCAAACAAACTTGACACTTTAGAGAAAGCTTGAAGGTATTAAATAGAAAAGATATTCCAACCCTCTACGCCGTGCAGTTACCAGAGCGGGTAATTCCGTGCCGTGGCAGCTTCAGATGGTAACAGCAGGGGGTAGCGGTGCCTGCTTTTCACGGGGGCTTTGCAAGGGGGGAGGCGTTTTCCTGATTGAAATGTTATTTTCCTGCCATAAATATATATAAATATTATATATAAAATACAAACATATACAGAAAGGTGTGTATGTGGCACTTGTGCCTGTGTGTCTAAGCAGAGAGAACTAACTAATAGATAAATACCCAATAGATAAATAACGCCGAGAGTCGGTTACTTAAAAACTTAATACCAAAAGGCTCAGATTCATGAACTGACTTACAAGAATTATTTCCCCAAAAAGGGCTGGGATACAACCTTGCTTATGTTTGCATAACCGCAAGAAGCGGCAGAGCCCTCTCCGAGCAGGAACTGAAGATGCATCTGCAGCGCGAGGCCATCCACAAAACCAAAAAGCTACGCGTCGCGGGTGATTATTTCGATAACCCGTCACCGGTCGCGGGGGTTTGGGAAGTGATGACAGGGAGCAAAATTCATGTTTTGTGATAAACAAAAACCAGAGATGCAAAATGACAGAATAATTTGAGTTGAAAGGTCCCTTCTCCCCTTGCGCGCCACATCCCTTGCCTGGGCAGGGGATGACGCACGTGCTCTCGCCAGCCCCAGTAGCCACCTTTCCTGGGGCTCAGCTGAGTTGTAAAAGGAACTGAACAGTCCAAAAGCCACCTAAAGCCACCCCTGGAGGCTTGTCTGATCACAGGATTTGCTTCCCAAGCTCTTCTCCTCCTCCACCCCCCATGGAGAGCCGTTCCCACCTCCTCTACCTGCTCCCGGCTACAAGCCACCTGCGGCAATGAATCAAGACAACGCGTTTCAGGGGGTTCCAGCCCCGCTGTTATCTGCACACAATGAGGGGGTTTCAGCCAAATACTGTCTCTCGGTTAAATTTTGGTACGTGGCAACGTGTGACGATGTAGGCCGGTTTCTGCGCTCCTGTGAAGCGTTAGATTCACCACCTTTTTACAGAGGGCGAGCATATTCTGGCAGGGGCTTAGTAACGGAGCATGAAAGCAGCCCAGCATCCCACCATCACCACTTTGGTTGGCCAAAGCAGGCCAGTGCCCATCAGTAGGAGACACAGCGCCCATCTCCACGCTAAGAACTAGATACCAATCCTATTTTTATGGCCAGTTCTTCTGAAGACTTAATTTTGCCATGGAAGGGCTCAAGCAGCGTTTCAATCCTCGCTCTGTAACAGCCCTTCCTGGACCTTCCAAGCCAGCAAAACTGCAATAGGACAATCTCAACCAGAAGAACTTTTTCTTCTTTCTGGAGACCAGAAGCGTGCAAATACTTAGAATAAAATGAGAGATGCAGAAAGAGAAAGTGTCTGCAGGGAGGGTCCACCTGCTCCAAAGATTTATAAAACACACTTACTGCTAAATGTCAACAAATAGTAAATATTTGCTTTTAAAGACCAAGAAGCCAAAATGTTTACTCCAGTGGAAAAGTTTTTGTATCTTTCAGGAAGTTTATCACCTTTCTTTGTAAAATAAACCAACTCCTTACGGAGGGTGGCAGAGCTTTTTTGATTTACGCCGCCGCGTAGCAGCCAGGACGTGCCATCACCAAAGTCACGACTCAAAATAACGACGCGCTCCTGTGTGGCTACGGCTGTTGCCGCCCCCCTTGCCCAGACCCCGTTCCTCCGCACACTCACGCTCCGGCTGCGTGGCGACCTTGACGGGCTGCGAGCTTTCTCCTGGTCCCCACTCGTTGTAGGCCACCACGCGGAAGGTGTAGGTCTCCTCTGGCTTCAGGTTGCCCACGGTAAGTTGAAGTGTCCCAGGCTGAGATGTGTTGACTGCCCGTTCCCTGAAAAAACAACAAAAAAACCAAACCCAAAACCATTTAAAAATACATTTAGATCTTAAAGCATTACTTATTTATGCAGCTGGTGGCCTGCAAGGGACGATTACTTACCAAACTTCAGTTTGAGGCTTGTTTGCCTACAGGGTTGGGTTTTTTTTAATTTTATTTTTACTTGAAAAAGCCTAACTCAAGAAACGGGACCCACTGGGAATGCTGTAAGCACTACAAAAGTGACTTAGATTTTAACACTTCCTCAGGCGTACAGTGTGGTGGTTCTTTGTCTTTCTTAATAGAATAAAAAAAAGGAAAATTGATGGAAAAAATGGCTATTCGATAAAGGAACGCATCTCTGATGTAGGATGTGAGATACGCATTGGACCATAAACATCCAGCTAATGAAAACTGGGTTTGGATCGCTCTTGTTGATCAAGACCTTGTCAGTGCTCTGGCTAGAGCTGACCCAGCAAAACCACCCCCACCATCCCCCCCTCGAGTCGTTGCTGCCATTTCACGGGCAAAGGGACAACACAGCGTCTTCCCTAAGATGCACCTGCCATTTCATAGCTCTACAGTGAAAACCCATCTGGGGAGTTTATGCTATGCTCCCCCCCCCGGCAAGACAAGCACCCAGGAGGGTCCAGGGCAGCCTGGAATGATGGTCCGGTACCACCCCATGGATGCAAACTTGGCCATCGGCTTTGCTGAGAACCTGGTGCATGGGGCAGCGAGCACCAAATTGGCTTCAAGAGATGCTACAGCACTGGAAGAGGCTGCCCAGGTCTATGATTCTAATCTATGGTTCTATGGTCATCTGGTCCAACCTTTCATCAACATTGCTCACTTATATTCTAGGGATGGAGAAACCAGAGGCTTCAATGATCTGCCCAAAGCCACGGAACCTTGCCTCCAGCCCTCCCAACTTCTTAAAAGTAAAGGTACAGCCCAGGCACTGGGAGGTGGCAGCCCCTGGCCAGGGGGATATCACCCTCCCTTCGGGGCAAGAGCCGTATCATTTTTCCTGGCACCAGAAGCAGCCAGAGCTAAAGGGTTATCAGCACCCTGGCACTGGCCCCTCTGCCTTGGGTGAAGCAAAGCTCAGCCTGGCTGTGGCTTTGCACTCCTCGGTGAGAGCAAACGATTGGTGAGAAAGATGCGGCGCTAGAGTCGTTAACATGGGATTGTCCAGGAAAAACACAATCCCCAAACGGTAAAGCAGGGTTTAAATTGGACAAAATCACAGTCATTTCATGGCCAATCTGCAAACAGAAGTAGGTCAAATTGGTTTTGTAACTGATTTACTACGGGCGGCATGCGTCGGTCCTCTCCTTTACTAGAAGCCCTCTGAAAAGCAATGACAAAAAGGTAGGTTTCATGCTGAAGAAAAAAGAAAAAAAATCATTTAAGACTCCATCAACTAATTGTCAAACTTGACGTAGCGCTGCTGGGGTTCCCTGGGCTGCGATAGGCATAGCAGCAATTCAAAGATGATTGCTCCTTTGGGGAACGTTTCCGCAAAATGAAATTGCTCAGGCCAAAGAATGGTCCTGTCCTCCGAGCGCCAGGCTCCACCGTCGCCCCAGCCCTCCAAGGACTGACCGAACAAAGCTTGGGTGAACGTTCCCTGGGGATAACCGGTGGCTTAGGAAGCGGAGACAGAGGGAGTTTAATGCCTCTATGCCAGCAGAAGGTTTTCTATTGCACTTGGTGACGCGAAAGCGGAGCTGTGGGAGGCTGCTGCTCCCCGACGAGAGCCTTTGCTCTTCCTAACTCTGCAAGCTGAGCTGCGCTTGACCAACTCGCCTCATTTTATTCTCTTGCCTCTTACCTCTGGGTTCTATTTGCAAACTGTAGAAGTAGGAACTCAGCTGCGTAAAACCATCTCTGATGGATTTGTAACCAACGGACCAACTCCGAAAACAGCAGACCTGCAAGGGGGGGGGGGGGGGCAGATGGCCAAGAACATCCCAACTGAACAGCTACGATATTCTCAGAAACCCTCTGAGATCCAGGAACCCAGCAAGAGAGTAACCAAAATATGCCCAGTGACGTCTTATCTGCAGGATGATGGGACTGTTGGCATCTGTATCTCCTCGTATACAAATTTTTTTTTTTAATGGCAAAACAGCAACAAGACCTTTCAATCCCAAAATAGCAGCAAGGAAGCGAGAGAAGAGAAAGGAGAGGACGTGATAAAAGAAAAGAGTCAGATCTTTGGTTTAACACTTCTCCGTGACAGCGGTACCCGTGGTGGCACCTATCTGCAAGTCTGGAAAGGTGGGATGGTTTGTAGCGTTCTTTCGGTAAGTCATTTCTCATTACCTAGTAAGAAAGAGAAAACTAACCCCAAACCGTACGCGTATCTGGCATTCAGGTTGCTGCTGAGTGACTCCCTGAGCCGAATCCAATCTACGTTTTAGCCTGAAGGGGCTGAACCAGCACAACTCTCTCATCTTGTGTAGTTTGGGCTGCAGGTGTGAAGCGCTACGATGAGGAGTGAAATTCTGACCCGGCCTGTTTTATATCTGACGCTGAGGTTGCAGAGCAATGGGAAAAGAATCCCAGCCCCGTCATGGAGGTACGAGGAGACCCAAGGCTGTCGCTCCTCTTCTCAGATCCCCATCTGCTGCGTCACATCCCAGCCTCAGCCGTTTGGAAACAACCAAGCAAGTGCTTTGGTCAGACCCTACCGCAGTCATCTTCAAATGCAATCTCAGCACCTTCACTGTTCATCTTCCACTGGATTTCAGTGGTGATACTGAAGTCCACCTCCCGAGACGCTTCTCTCTGCAACTGGAAACCATCAGATTGCCAGAGCACAGGGTTGGACTTGAGTTATTAACCCAAGCGCATCACTTCTCTCCAGCCAATGAACCCAACGAGCCCATCACCTGCAGCGATGGGCCAGTCCGTTCCTAGAGAAATGCAAGTCCAGTAAAACTCTCCTGCTCCCACTGGGAGTAGCACCCAGGTTGGCAGCAGCACACTCCACCTCGCAATATTCACACGTCCTTTCCACGGCTTGGGTTAATAACTCAAGTCCAACCCTGTGCTCTGGCAATCTGATGGTTTCCAGTTTGGGAGCAGCATTGAACAGGAGCTGCTCTGGGCTGTCCCCAGCCCACACTGAAAAATCCCAGAGGGAATTTTCCCCATTCTTGCCAGCCAGTAAGTTCCCTCCGTGCACCTCAGGAAAGCATGGAAAAAATCAAACCTTTATACGTTTTATTTCCTATAGGTTGGGTTTTCTAGCTATCGGATCTAGAGCATCTTCCAAATGCAACACCAGAAGCTCACAGAGCAGTGCAAGATCTTGTAACTTGAAAAAAACCCCAAGAAATGGACTGTATAGAAAGAAGTTCCAGGTTTTCCTAAGTAAAGACTGAATAATAATCAAGCAAAGACCCCAGGACTGAGACCAAGAAGAATAAAGCAGAAGAAAGGGCTGAGGTTTCCCTCCGGGTGGGCTGAGATGCAAGAGCAGCCAGCAGCCCACCCAGCCCCATCTCACAACCTGGTGGTAGCCACGTAACAGACATTTAGAGGAATAAGTGAACCAGGACAGAAATATCTGGTTATTCTCCTGGCATAGGACAGAAATATTTCGTTATTCTCCTGGCATAGGACAGAAGTATTTTGTAATTCCCCTGGCATAGAGCTCTGGCTCACAGGTTTCTGGAATTTCGGCACCCGGATGATCACAGACACCCAAATGGTTCTATCTCCTTCCAAGTGTCTCCGCTGGTTTTGGTTTCTGTGGGAATGTAATTACGAGCCGTGAGAAAAAATGATCCCTTTTGTTTAAATGAGCCGCCTGCCAGTGTCAGGCAAGGTGCTTGGGGACAGGGTTTAGTGGTGGGATGGCAGGGTTAGGGGAACGGTTGGGCTTGGGGATCTGAATGGGCTTTTCCAACCTAAATGATTCCGTGATTCTATGCTCTAAACCCTCCAGCTAGCAAAGAGACAAAACCCCTTAAGAATATAACCACACTACGCTTGTCCAGTGAGCCGCCCCGCCGGCACGCGCTCAGGCTTAAGTTAGGCGAGACGAGAGTTGCCCGCCTCCGAAAGCCCAGCGTGTCCTCCTGCAACTGGGCTACAGATGCTCCAAGCAACGCAGGAATAACCTAAAAAGAACCAAACATCCCTGAATCGGGCACTTTTTCCTTTGGGGTTTGCTTTTGCAAACCCACCCGGGCCATAAATTACAGTCTAAAAATAAAAGACCTTGACTAAAGTCATCCACTTTCTTGTAAAACGGAGGCTTCGACATGTAATTTCCAGTGACTGAAGATCATGTTACCATTACGGTATCAGCATGTAAAAAGAGGTAATTACAGCCCCCATATATCTCTTAGGTGTGTAACAAATGCTTTTATAATGTTTCAAACACCTAATTAGTTACTCCACCTAAGACAAGTCGTGGTAATGCTCCGTGCTGTGAAATGAATACTATTAATTTTAAAATGGATGGACTTTTACTACCTCCAGTCCTTTTTTTTTTTTTTTTTTTCCATCTCCCACGATCATTCCCCCACAAAATAATATAAAGGCCTTGATTTTAAGAAGCAAACCTCAAAACTAATGGGAATCGATCGCCTGGGAACGGTATTTTAGAGCTTCAGCTGACTTCTGAAGATAGGCTTTAATCAAATATAAGTTTTTGCATTCAATTAAGTGCGCTCTCCATTCATTTCTCCAGTCTGCAACACGCGGGAAGGTAAATCGGGAGATCTATTAGCTTGTTGTGACTATCTATGCAGTTATTAATTTCCTACAGAAAAAAAAAAAGTTCTAGTCAACGTTCAACTAAAAAGAAAACCGGTCCCAATCTTGCAAAAGAATCCTTCATCAAATTACATTCCGCTGCAATACTGCTGATTCCCAGGCTCATTTTCTTTTTTTTTTTTTTTTTCATTTTATTTTAAGATCAGACCATTTCATTTCATTTATTAGGAAAATTATTAGGAAAACTGTTTGCTAACAGTGAGTTAAAAAAGAGAGCGAGCCAGAAAATCAGGATCCATTACTTAAAGCCAACCTGACATTTCAAAGGTTGCAATCAAAAACTGACTGGTATTTCTGGGCTTTATGTCTCATCTAAAATGCTAAACAGAAAGATATCACCGTATAAATATTTCTATTTATAAAGCAACATTGTGAATTTTTTATTGTAGATTAAATTTTAAATTTTCAATATAGGGATGTAAATTCTCACCGGGAAGGCAGAATTAAGTTAAAAACTATGCACAGGTAATTAAATATATCTTGAGATGACACATGAGGAGTTATTTTCTGGTTTGGAGACAGACCAAGAGCAAACCAACAAAAATAAGCGACGTCTCTTTCTTTACGGTGACAAATAGGCTACCACCTAAATATCAAATGTCCGTGTAAATCAGCGTGGGCACGTTGAGAAGCAAACCAGCAGAGACAGATGAGAACAGGGAACAAACCATGAGGCTGAGAGCAAATCTGACCATCAAAATCAGATCAAAATTGCAACCTGCCCTGTGGATCGAAACATCGACTCTGCCCCATTTTGCAGATGTGGCCAAGAGGGCCAGCGGCATCCTGGCTTGTATCAGGAGTGGTGTGGCCAGCAGGAGCAGGGCAGGGAGCGTGCCCCTGTGCTGGGCACTGGGGGGGCCGCCCCTCGACTGCTGGGGTCAGGGTTGGGCCCCTCCCTCCCCGAAGGACCGGACAGAAAATTAGGACAAGAACAGCCTCAAGTTGTGCCAGGGCAGGGTGAGGTTGGCCATGGGGAACAATTCCTCCCCCTTGGGGCTGTCAGGCACTGGGAGGGGCTGCCCAGGGAAGGGGTCGAGTCCCCAGCCCTGGGGGGATTTAACAGCTGGGCAGCCGAGGTGCTGAGGGCCAGGGTTTGGGGGTGGGATGGCAGGGGTAGGGGAACAGTTGGGTTGGGGGATCTGAAAGGGCTTTTCCAACCCAAACGATTCTATGGCAGAATTTTTATTTTATTTTATCTATTTATTTGTTTAGTTATTTTAACACAGAGCCCACGTTCTTCTGCAGAAGACTCTCCAACTGGGCACGCATCTAGGTAGCAATGAGACTAAAGCATCCTTCTGGTACCCAGAACTTCGAGCAGCACCATGGAAATTCCAGAAGAAAATTCTTTTGAAGTGGAAGGGAATCCAAAGTGAGCTCTTTCTATATCTTTAATCTCAGAAAGACCGCTATTTTAAGGCCTCATATCAGAATATCAGTATTTTCTCCTCACTGCTAAACTAAAAGGCTGGGTTAGAATATGCCTCAACCCAGCTGTGTGTGGCAACTGATGTTTTTAAGACAGAATTAAAATAAGTGAGAGGTGATTACAGCAGCGCCCTGTTCCACTGTTCCTGGTGCCGATGGCCGCAGACAAACGTTACGCCCCGTATGTGCAAAACCATTCGATTCAGCCCTGTGAACCCCAATTTGCTACCCGCACGGGGAGCAATAAGGGAGCTGCTGAGCATCCTCCCTTCCCAGGCAACTTGAACTCATCACTCTTTTTGCATCCGTTACTTCTCTAAGGCCAATTTCTGCCTTCCCCAAGCGCCTTACAACCTTTCCTGATGCTCCAGCGAGGTGTTGTTCTCATTTCATGCAAACCAGGCACAACCGGAGACACGATCCGACGCAGGACCTGAACTCTCAACTTCTGCCCCATCCGTCTCGCCCTGCTCCTGTCCCCCCCTCTCCGCTCGCAGGCAGGCTCTCGGAGGGGGTTTGTGGAAGGTGAGATGCCCGTGTCCAACCTGTGAACCAAACCCAACACGCCTGGCTCCTACCCCTGTCTTCGCCACAATCCCTCACCTCCCTGCCTAGGCGCCGCAGATCCCACAAGTGATGCCCTAGTGCAGGAGACGCTTGCCTCCAGCACCACCCTCAGAAACGCCAACTTGAATTTAAGAGCTTTCTTTTACAGAGGGAGAGTGCGTTTCACACGCTCAGCCCAAGCGTTTTGCGTGTCGGGGTCCTTTCAAGGCTGCTCAGCTGGACGAGATGAAAACATGTTAGGATACCTGCCTCTCACAGCAGGCACCGCCGCTGTAGCTATCAACGTCTACAAGCACTGAAACAAATAAAACCCAGTATCTATGGCTATAAAAGAAAGCTGGACTTTGTCGGAGATTAAGATGAAGAGCTCGCCAACGTCCAGGCAGGGGCAGGGAATTTTGCCTGCAAGACCGAGCCCTTTTGGATGATGGATAAGCCCACACCGCAGCACCGATGCCTGCGGGGTCCCCACCTTCTTTAGCTCTCGTGCATCCCCACATTTTTCAATTAAATATAGATTCCTCTTCAAGTCCCCTCGGGAGCTGAGCTGCCATCAGCACGCACACAAGTACCAGTCACCAGGCGGTAGCTGAAGTGTATCTTGAGTGCAGTGCAATACAGGACAGGATACTTCAAGTGAGTTCTTCGTAATGATGTAAGGAAGAGAAAAACACAAGATTTTTCTCAGGCACAAAATCACGTACAAAGTTAGGAAAATAAAACAAAGCCCAAGTAAATAGGCGGGACGTTTTGGCGTGTGAAATGAGCTTATACGGTGAGGAATCACGCAAACACCAAACCATCTCTACTGCCGTTAACACAAAAGAGCTACCTGCTGCGCAGCTCTAATCCACGGGGCCAGAAGAGCCCAGGCTGGTCCATTGTATTTGCAATCATGTAAGGTCTTCACAACCCGCTCCTTGGCTGCTTTCAAGGTCTTCCACCACTTGCACTGCTCTGAAAGCAGTCGTCTCTGCTTGATTAGGGCTCAACCAATTTGCCTCTGCCAGCGACACAAACAACACTCGAGGCTGTGTCTTCAGAGGAAGATGAAAGGTAAAATACGGAGCTAACAATACTTTATGTTAGACGGTCAAGTAATAGCTGGAGGAGGTAAGATCCGTAGGCATCACTGTCAAGGCAAATGGTCCTTCATGTCAAGACAATGAGCACTGTTATATAGATGTTGATATGATGTCTATAAAAATATACGGCAACAAAAGGCATTTTAAGCGTCACGCTCCTTTTACCACAGGGAGAAGAACACAAGGTTGAGAACCATTTGCAAGACACTTTTAAAGACCTCAAGGCACTCTTAAGACTGTCCCCCCATCCAGAGGAGACCCGTGGTCTGTTGACGCCTACCTGTTGACGCCATCCCTGGAGAAGAAGACCGTGTACGTCTGGACGCTGCCTCTGGCTTCTGCGGGTGGGCGCCAGCTGAGACGGACAAATCGGCTGGAGACCAAAACAGGGACCACATCTCGGGGGGCAGAGGGGAGGACACTGGAACTTGGGACAGCTGGAGGGGAAGGAGAGGAGTCAGTCAGAGAGGCCGATGGCACAGGGGTGTCGGGGCGGGCGGGAGGTACCGTGGTGGCCACGGCTGAGGTGTTACAAAACAAAGGGCCAAGGTGGCGTGGAATAAGCGTGAATAAAATGACAGGGGGTGAGAGAGAGAGAGAAAAAAAAAACTAACAGTAAAATCACACCTTAAAATACACCGTCCTGAACCACCCTCTAAAGCAAACAGCAACACGCAAAACTCGAGTAGGCTTCTTCCTCAGGATACTGGGAAATTCTCTCTGGTACGAGTGGTCGGTACGATGCGTTCCTTTGCTCGCTCCTATTTCACTGATTTTGTCCCTTGCACCCCAAGCAGCAGAAGTATTTAACCTCATCAACAAGGAATAACCAACCGCTCGAAGCCTGACGCCTACAAACCGACCGGTCTGGGAAGAGCAGAAACCAAATAGGGTGCTTCAGCACATGACTTACTGGATAACTGCATCCAAGTGGGATGAAACGAGAAGACAGTGAGACCTAACATCAACACCGTTTCACACGGAAAAGTGTTCAGTCCACGTGCACAACCCAGAAATGGCTAAACTGCAGATTCAGGCAGTAAAATTAGAACATTTTAGAACAGTATCTCTTAAGGGTTTGGTTGTTGCCCACCAAGTCCATGTGAAAGCTGGCCCGTCAACATAAATGACAAAAAATATTTATATTTTAACAGTAATTTAAGTGATTAGCTACATGCTGATCTAGCACATGCATCTTACAGAGCACCCACAGTCACCTAACCTTCTCTGAGGACAAACGTGATGTAGGAGGTCCAATTCCACGGGCCACACCAGCCCTGAAAAGCAGCTTTTCACCATTGGTATCAAACCAAAAAGCAATTTCTTTTTTTCCTTACTGCAAATCTTCTTTGGTCAGTCCCTACGCGCGTACTGTGAGCTATCTGAGTAGCATTAATTTACTGTGAGATCATTAACAGCGTGTCATTATCTAAACACCTCATGAAGAATAGCTCGATGTAAAAAGCATGATGTCCGCTGAACACTAACATAGCATTTTCTTGCATTATCCCTAACTTATTATTAAAAGCCATTAATATTGCCATTATTAATAACCAAAATGATTACCCCTCACTTATCGTGATCAATCCAAAACCAGAGGGAATTAAGGAAATTCCCAGTGGCATTTCCGGAGTAATGATGTGTTGAAAGAAAATAATAAGCCATAGCCTCAGCTCCCGTGGCTGCAAAATTGTGATCCATTATTTGCACTGAGATTGTGTTTAGCGTCCTTAGTCATGGGCCACTGACCTAAATAATGTGCAAACACAAGACTAAAGTATAATTCTGTGTACATTTATATTACAACGAGGCGACTCTTTGGTTTCACGGTCAGAGCGAGCGGATTTGGGCTTCTGGTCTATTCTATATGTTGACTCATGTATTATAAGCCTAAGTGCATTGTCTTCTTCTAACAAGGGCTGCGGTAGGTAAACATCTCTAGAGAAGCACCAAGGGCGCGATCGGATAAAAACACACAGACCAACCTACAGGGCTTTTTCACTTGAGTTCTTGGTACTAAAATCAAACACAGCAATTCAGGAAAAGCCCCATTATTAACGATTCTGGCGCCTGAGGGTCCGTAGAAACTCTTGAGTTCCACCACAAAACACCTCGGTCCATGGTTCCTCCACCAAATATCCATCCTCCTGGTGGAGCACGGCAGTCTTGGCACCTCTCTTCCATCAAAATCCATTTAGTGTTCAGAAACTTGCGCTATGAGCAGCCCTAAATCAAACATTTAGGGGACTATGCATACATGACTACATATATATGGGCGTCCAAGCTCCCCCCGTAGAAAATGAGGACATCTACCCAACACAGATGGTGGACCCCAAAGAGTTACTCAACTACCCAACGGTGGTATCTATCTCGAAACATGCTGCATAAGTATCCAAAACCTGGAGGTGAATCCATACCCTTTGGGACCTCATGCCTGTGGATGCGGTGGCTGGCCCGCTAGGTGTCAACTTATGAAAATAATAGCGAAAAATTGAGGTGAAAAGCAGCAAGATTGGGACTGAAGCCAGACCACTAAGCATGTGTTTTACTCTGCCTTTCGATAAACTCTGTAGAGCTATCACTGACAAAAGCAATTTCACTTTTATTGTTGCTAGCAGTGAATAGCAAACATATACGGTACAATAGTACAATATAGCGAGACATATAACCTGAAATTATCTCAGCAAGTAATGCCTGAAATCCTTCAATCTTTCATATGACTACGCAAGAGCAATCCACCACTGGTTAAACCATCTTCATCAGAGTCTGACAGGCTCTGATTTTAGCCTGATGAGGTTTATATTAACTCCTCGCAAAGTGCATCTTTCTCCGCTCTCGTGGCAGCGTGAATAAGCATCTGCCTCTCTACAAAGCGAGCATAAAACTGGACTGGTTGATTCATATCCCACATGTGTAAATGACTATAGAATCAACGGAGAAGGGCTGAATATAGAATCATAGAATCATTTAGGTTGGAAAAGACTTTGAAGATCATCAAGTCAAGTCCCACCGAATCAGCAAGTCCCATCAATATAGGCCTGAGAGCAACCGATCTTTGCGTTTCCATAAACGGGGCACCTCAACTTCCAAACCGAATCCCCCATTATTTACAATCCAGAATCAGCTATGAGTTTTATTTCACCAGTAGGACCCACCCTTGTGCTCCTAAAGCAAACGTCCTTCAAAAATGCAGAAATATGCTTGGCGTAGGTGTTCAGGACCTGCTTGTTTACCGCCTTCATTTGCAAAATAGACATGTGCCAGGCCAACTATTTACGGGGTTTAAAAACAACTAAAGGCAAAACCTCAGGCGGGACATCTCATTCCACCACTGCTTCCCATACACAGCAGCCACGGGCTGTTTGCAATTAAAAATAAAAGGAGTATGAGACCTAGTTCAAAGAGACATGGTTTTTTAAATACTTTTCATAGGTTTGTTTGGGGTTTTCTTGGAGTTTTTTTGGTTTTTTCTTGTTTTTTTTAAACACATATACATGTCTGCAGGTAGGGAGGAGATCCTATTAGCAGCAGCTGTCTACCCTTTAAATGGTGTTTTTAGAGTCCAGCAAAAGCTTATGTGTGATACAAAAGAAGAGATGATGAATGAATTTCAGAAAAAAAAGCACCCCTTGTAATTAAATCCCACAAGGGAATTGGTATCAAGAAGATAGAACATTATTATTGCTAAGCAGAGGTGGCAATAGATGGCATGGGTTTATTCATGAGTCTCTCCCGGTAAAAGACATGGGTGCAAATCCTCTAAATCTGAGTTACAAAACATCTCATGTTCTCACTTCAGTGCTCACAGGGTCTCTCTATATTTTTTTTATATATATATACACACACACACACATATATACACACAGAACTCAGCTCAACTTTTGTTACCCTGTACAAAAAAATATTAATTTGCCTTTTTTTTTTTTTTACATATTTACCAAGGTGACAGAAAAGGGAAAGAAGTTTAGGGACAGTTTAAGGAAAGTCGTCTGAAGTTTAAGGTGAAAAATAAGTCAAGAAGTTACTGTGCGTGCAGAAAATGTTGCTCTTGAATGTCAGAAATGTTGATCTAAAAGCTGTGCTGGGAGTCTGCATTGAGGACCAGGTTCTGAGCGGATAAAGAGGAGTTGGACTTTTCTGCTTTTAAAGCGGTTAAAATTTGCATGGTTTGAGTTATGTTTAATTCACCGGGAACATTTAAGCCTGTTATACCACGCTGCCACGGGCCTAAATTAAAAATAATACTCATTTCTCAGGGGGGTAAATTAATACAGAAAGAAATTGGAACTGCCTGCACCTCTCAGAAGGTGGGAAATGTCCAGGACATCATCCATTTAGTATTTTTTTAAATTACAGCCTTACCTAAGCAAAAAGTATTCCCAAAGTGCCACTGTTTTACACTTGGAGTCATCTAATAAGAAGAACAAATCTATAAATGAGAATATCTACTATAGGCCATCCCTGCTTTTCAAATACTGACAATTCGCGCTTGCTGATAAGATTTGAAGCTCAATACTTTGTCAGCAAAAAGGAGAACGCTATCGCGTTTAAAATCTCCACCCCCCCCGCTGCAAGTCACACCTGCCCTAACTATCCCACCTACCCTGATGCCAAAATGACATTTCAAGACATCAAATGAAATTTTTCAGCCAAGGCACTACCCCAAAATATATTTCTAAGCCTTCTAACAACTATTTCAATTCCTCGATTTGAGGGTTTTTTTAAATAGAGAGATGAATTTTTCATCTATTCCAGTTTTAAGAGACTTTCAAAAATTTCACTGAATGTATTTAAACAGAAAAGGAACATTCAGGGTTTAAGTTAAGCATTTCATTTCATAAAATACAAGATGTTTTATTCAAGTTAAAATATAAACCCTGTGGATTAATTCAAGCCTCTTCCCCGCCCCTCTTGCAATATTTTCCTTGGGTTTAGCACTTTAAATCAGTTATTCATACAGCACGAATTTCAAGTATGACATAAGACCACGAATCTGTTCTCATCTCCAAATCCTCAGTGTTAAAAGGAAAAACAATTTATATGGAATTTTAATTCCAGAAATAACATCAAAGACGTGCTTGTTGGCTGGTGTTGCTCAGTAGAGCCATAGCCTGGTCAATCCAGCCTGGTGTCGCAGTCCTGCCTTCAGAGAATTCGGTCTTTTTAAATTTTTTTTTCTTTTTTTTATTCAGAAACTTTTTGACCCATCTTACACCTTCCGTAGAGCAAACTGTGAAAGTTAGAAGTGAGAAAAATTCTCGCTGCAGGAATATCTGTGACTCCAGGGATGCTGCATATGTAACACCTAGGACCTGAAAAAGCGAGGCGCTCTTCCAGTAAAATATTCTTAAAGAAGATGATCTGTAATAGATACAATTTTGGTGGATTCGTCGTTTTTTTAGAACATAGGCACATCGGAAAGAATTATTCCCATTTC